GCAGTATGGTGTTTCGTTACTCAGCAATGTAATTTCTGCCTTGCTACTGGCAACTGTACGCCTCAGCCTAGCTATTGGAGCTGAGTCCAGTGAGCCAGTTTCTTTTATATTTGCTCAACCTTCACGTTGCTGTGGCAACAAGATCTGTGCTTTGCAGGAGCTCTGGATGTCTCAGGATGCAGAACCCTGATTTAAGTGAAGGAATGAATGGACGTGTTCAGAGAGTGCACACAAGAGAGTAAGAGCTTCACATGGGTGTGGCAGAATTGGAACACTTCAATTTCTTAAAGTTTTCAAGTTCACTGTTGTTATTCGGGAAAGGACAGTTTTTGATTTTACAGGATTTTCCTTTTCTGCACCAGGATGTCCTGTAGAGTGTCCCCCTATTTGCCTCTTGTTTTTCTGCAAACCTGGGGCCCAGAACCACATACATTGTGCTGAAGTGGCATTGGTCTGGGCATTGGAAAGAGCCAGCATGGCACAGACAGTTGCCCTCTAGCAATCAAAATAAATTGGGATGTAGCTTTGGAAGGCTTACTATGTGCAGGTGTATAAATACATGAAGGGCTTTGGGAATGCAATGATGTGCCTTCTTCAAACTCCTGCTTTAAAAATACGGCTTCCCAGTGTTTTCTAACCTGATTTTTATATGATAGTATACAAAGCTATTGTGTGAATTTGAGTCAGAAGAAAAATTTGATCTAAAAATTTCCATTTGGCCTAAACCAACAGATACTTAGTACTCCCTTTCCCAGACAGCTATAGAAGTATTTTGTCTATAAAGACAGCTCACATTCACAAATTACATATTGAGAATTTACGTGTCAGGTGAGGCATATGTCCTTATTAAACTGATTCTATGCCTCCTCCTCCTCTTCCTTCTTATTCTTCTCATGAGATAGGGTCTCACTATGTAGTCCAGGCTGGCCTCAAATTTACGGCGATCCTCCTGCCTCAGCCTTCCAAGTGCTGCAATTACAGGCATGCACTCTATGCCATCTTCTTGTTATAACTTTGTTTTTCTCTGCACCATTCCTGAAATATGTGCTTGCATATATGATTCAATTTTGTGTTTTTAGTGAGATATTAATTAAAATACATATTGCACATTTAAGCTGTATGAAGGCTATACAGTGCTAATATACTGTACATTGTTTTATAAGTGGGAAATCCTTCCCCCAAGATGTTATTACAAAGAATAGTTTCTTATGGATTCTTGTAGCAATTTTTACATATATATTAATATGTATGAAGATGCCCTCATTGTAAAAAAGCCAAACAAATGAGAACATATTATTTATGTTTGTCTATCTTGGGTTTTTGATTTAATAAGTAATACCTCACACTGTTGGTATTCAACAAATATTTGTTGAATGATCAAAGAGACAATGTATCTGCAAGGATGTTTATAATCCTTTTTGTAGATAATACATTCAGTAATATTTTTAACTATTTTGAATCTGTTGCATTTCATTGCTTATTAAATTTAGTATAATCTTATCAACTTGCAGAAAGCCAACCAGGATTTGGACAGGGATATAATTGAATCTGTTGATTGGTGTAGGATAGTATCATGTTCTACACAAAATAACTTTTCTAACCCATGAATGTACGTTGTCATTTATTTAGATCTTTAATTAATGATATTAATGATTCATTGTAGTTTTCAAACGAACAACCCTTGCTTTGTTTTCTTTTTTCTTTTCTCTCTCTCTGTCTCTCTGTCTCTCCCTTTCCCACCTCTCTTTCTCCCTCCCTTTTTGGTAGTACTAGGGATTGAACCCAGAGCCTTTGGAATGAGCTATATCCCCAGCCCTTTTCATCTTTAGACCAGGTTTTCCTAAGGCACAAAATTGCTCAGGCTGGAATTTACAATCCTCCTGCCTCAGCTTCCCAGTGTTGGGATTATAGGTGTGTGCCCCATGACTGGCATTGCACTTTATTAAATTTAATTTTCTTTGTATTTTATTCTTTCAGTGTGCTCATAAATAGCACTACTTTCTCAATCTCTTTTTTATCTTAGTACACATCCTTTATAAGTGGTGCTGGGAATTGAACCAAGGACCTTGTGCAATTGAACCAGGCAAGTGCTCACCACCAAGTTACACCCTTTTGGTGCATAACTGTGAGGGCATCACCTGCATCACTCTTCCTAAATGAGTGAGTGTGTCTGTTAGATAAATTCCTGAACGTGGATCAAAGGGTCTTTATAGTTAACATTTGATAAATTTTGCCTCCAAGAACTTGCCATGATTCATATCAATAGGTTAGATTTCTCATATATTATAAGAAATTTGTACTTTAACCAATCTGGTTGAAGAAAAATGTTACCTTTATTTATATATGATATTCAGTTATAACTATAGGCAGATTTAAAATTTCTAACAAAGATATTTTGCCAAAATTGAAAGCTTTTAGAGTTTTTAAGAGAGATAGGCCACCACAAATCTTCACAGAAATTAGTCTTGATTTGAAAGGTATTATTTATTTGCAAAACAGCTTACTTCTAGAAAAACTGCAAAGCAAGATTTGAAAATCTTTCAAAGCTTATTTTGTATTTACTTTCTGTAATTCAAAAGAAAATGGCCAAAGGCACCTTCAGGTTATTTATGAGGCTTTTTGTAGAAATATAAGAGTAAACCCATTATGATCCTGTAAGGTCTGATCATTTAAATTGAAATGAAAAACTTACTTTAAGGCAAAGAGATGGCTGAAGTTTTATTCATGGATATGCTGTCAATTGTTAGAAGGTAACTAAGTTAAAATAGCATATCAGTTTTTCTACTTTTTGCATCAGTAGGGAAGTGAAATAAAAAGATCAGTATTAACAGATTAAATAAAATAGGCAAGGTTGTTATGTAATCGTTGCATGATAACACTAGGAATTGTTATTATCAAATATGAATTTTTTACCTTTAGACATTGAGAAAATGCTTTCAAATAAATATTAAGTTTGTATGTAAATATCTTTTTAAATTGTCTTTCAGAGAACTTCACATCAAATTCCCTACACAAATTAACACAATAAAAATAGAACCTTTGGAAAATTAGAATACATTTTTTCATTATTATTAGGTAGTGACAGTTACCAGCCTACCTGTGCAAACTTCCTGATTCGTCATCTTAATATAATGATTCTGGAGGTGGGTGGCAGTCTTAAGTAAAACTGCCATTTATGCAGAAAAAAAATGATTGTAGGTTGCTTGGATTATCATGCTTTTGTAAAAGGATACCAAAATAATAATAATAATCTGCTTTGTTAACAAGAAGCTAAAAGAAATATGATGACTGGCTGAAATAGCCAGATTTACAATTTTTTCTTCATTTTATATGTGTTCTCAAATTTTGTCTTTCCATAATTATTTTCCTGATTATAAAATCAAATCATACTTAATGGATAGATTTTGAAAATATTTAAATCCTACCAAACAGGAAAAAAAATTACTCTTAATTATATCACTTAGAGACAGTAACTGTAATGCAAAAGATAGACTCTGAAGTCACCCAGATCTTGGGTTTGAGTCAGGTCTGTACTAATTTACCTTATAAGGCTGCAATGAGGAAAGTCGAGAGGAGACACTGGCATATGGTAAGTATTCAGTCTAGTACTCACTGTTATTGTAGCTTTTTTCTAAGCATTTTTATTTGTAGTTAAGAACATACTGTATGTTTGTTTCTTTTTCTTCATATCATAAATATTTTCTTGTGTAATTATTTAGCTTATAGGAGCACCCTAGAAGGAAATGATAGATTCTGGAGTTTTGATCTTTCATTATCACCTGATCAGGGAGTAACATCTATGCATCTGGTGTGATTATTAAGCTTAGTAGGAGCTCAGAGAATAGGTAGGCAATATGCAGGGTCATTATCACAGGGGCCTGAGGCCTTGTGAGCCCATATTTGATCTTGGTCCTGCAACTTTGTCAATGTTTTAACCTCTCTGAGCCTGTCTTGTACAAGGAGGTAAAAACAGTACTTATTTCATGTGGTTGTTGTGGTGATCAGTTTAATATCTAATCCTGGCCCATGGTAACCACTTAATGAATGTTAGCTTCTGTTGCTATGCTCAATACTTGAAATTTGTTTTTAATGTCTAAATGTGAGAGACTATCAGTGGTTTTATTTTTTTTTACAAGTAATGTGATTGTGTGCTAAAATATAAAACAGGGCAACACAAAATTTTTGGTTTAAAATGGATTGAGCTTCCCCATTTCAAGTATAATAGCAATAGTTTATCTATTGTAAATGTATTTGCCAGAAGAAAACATGGAAAGAGGAATTTGATTTAATAAACCATATAAAGAATTATTATTATTTTCAGTACCAGGGATCAAATTCAGGACCTTGTGCTTGTGAGGCACATGCAGCACCAGAGCTAAATCAGTGCCACTGAGCTAAATCCCCGACCCTTTCAAAGAATCTTAAAATAATTTTTTCAGTAATTTAGAAATGGAATGTCCTTTTTACCAAATTATTCTTTTAAAAGGCAAAAATGCTTTATATTAGTTTTTTAAGTTAGGCAAAATACTTGCAAATAATAGTGCTAGCATACAAAGAATCCAAATGATGCTCCTACATACAAATGTGATTGTTTTACTTGTGTTAGCTCATGTAACCGCATGGTGTTCTGTGCAGAAGGTTTGTTTCTTGTCCCTGTTTCACGGAGGAACCACAGAAAAGTTAAATAGCTTTGCTGGTACTAGTTAGTTACATAACTAGAAAATTCTGCCCTTTGTTGGTTAGCTTCAGAGACCTTTTTTTTTTTTAACCATTTCATTATGTTACTTAACACTCAGGAAAGAATAATAATAGAGTAAGTGCAGTAATTATATTGACTACATATAAAACCACCGTGAGTATATTGATCCAGACATTTGATTAACATTAAATTTAAGCATGTTTAAAAAGTTAATCTAAAAAGAAAATAAAAAAGTTCTTCTCTTCTGTAGAAACCCATGTATGTACATTTCAATTCTTTTTTTTTTTTAATTCCCTTTTAGTTTTTCAGTCATGGGAGAAAAACATTATATCAAAACGTTGAAGCTCCACAGGCTAAATTCTTTCGACCGCTTCTAAAAGCTATGCTACCACCTGATACTTTTAAAGGAAAAGTGGCATTTATTACTGGAGGGGGTACCGGCCTCGGCAAAGCAATGACAACTTTTCTGTCCACCCTGGGTGCACAATGCGTGATAGCCAGTCGGTAAGTTACACTCAGGAGTCACGTGAGAGAAGAAACCGTCTGTGCCTCAATATATTGAAAGCATTGTTTGCCAGCATTGTTTGATTTGCACCTTAATCTTACAGGAATTGTTCTAGAGATTACTTAAATAAATGTCCTTGGAAAAAGTCGGTTATAACTTGAGATGATAGAAATAATGACAGTCATGAAACTGGTGACATATATGCTCCTGAATCCAGTGTTTTGGGGGGTATTGGGGTTGAACCCAGGCACTTCACAGTGAGTGACAGTCTCAGAACTTTTTGTATTTCTGTTTGTTTATTTTGAGACGGTGTCTCACTAAACTATTAAGTTACCTGGGCTGGGCTTGAATTTGAGATCCTCCTGTATCAGCCTCCCAGAGTGATGGGATTACAGGCAAACAGTAGCACACTCAGCAAGTAGCTTCTTTTCTGTATGTAAAGATGAAGTTTAAAAGGTAAGATTAAAAAATGCTACTTTGAGTCTACGTTAACGTTCAGTGGGAGTGGTTAGGATTACTGCTTTGATTCATAACTGACCTTGTAGCAGGATAATGGATACTTCAGTTTTCTTAGACAGCTATTTCAGAACAACTGTTGTAATAAACAGGAAGGATAAAGCCATGTGAAAGGAATTATCTTCTTTTTTGGGCGTATCCTGGCACTCTAAGTCTGGAACTGTAAAGTCTGGTCAAAAAACCCACCGTTTCCTCCACTTTTAAATGGTGTATCATTTTATTGGTCATCTCAGTAATGGTCATTATATCATTCATCAATGCAAATTGGCCAGAATTTTTTTTTGTTGTAATGTATTTAAAATTTTTTAAATATTCTATTTTAATACTACATAATTTATCTTCACATATTTGTGTGTGTGTGTGTGTGTGTGTGTGTGTGTGTGTGTTTTAAGGATGTAAGACAAGGCATCCATGTTATCTGAACCTGTAACTTTGCGCTAAACCTACTAACACAGCATAAAGGTATATTCTTTGTGAAGCTAGCATGGATGAAAGCATGGGTACAATGATTATAATTAGGGGAATTTAAATCTATGAGTAGATAATCCAAAGTGATTGGTGTAAAAGTAACTGATTCAATGAATTAGTATCAGATAAGTAAAAATTATTTGAATTCAACTTTCAGAAAATGAGTTCATTCAAACTAATTTGTGTTGAGAGATCACACTTCAGCAGAATTCTTCTCATGCAGCTGTAGATTCTCCATGTCCTTTAACTTATGGAACTAGAAAGAAAAATATAATAAGTCATTTCAGAATTCATGCAAAATATCTGCCATGTATTTATTTCTAGGAACACTGATGTTTTGAAAGCTACTGCAGAACAGATTTCTTCTCAAACTGGAAATGAGGTACATTAAACAGCAGTTATTTAAATTAGGTATAGGAATTGCAATATGTATCAATAATTTATTCCTGCTCTTGTTTTAGGAAGTCTAGAAAATGTAGGGTTCTTTTTTTCTGTTTTTTTGCAGGTTCATGCAATTCAGTGTGATGTGAGGAACCCTGAAATGGTTCACAACTCTGTGATGGAACTGATCAGAGTAGCAGGACATCCTGATGTAAGTGTAATGGTGATGAAACCAAAGCACAAGGCTTTTGATGTTGATAACACTCACCAGGATGCACAAAGGAAACAAACTCTTCATGTGGGTAAGAGCTGTGTTGAGAAGGACTTACTTTGTTTCCAGAAGAAAATGTCAGCTTGGCTTACAGCAGGGAAAAGATGAGAAGGACCACTATACTACTTCCTTCCAGGGATATTTTAAAGATGCATTTATAATCATAGAACAAACTTAAATTCAGTTTATATAAATAAGACTGTGAAACAATGGGAGCAGTTATCCAAAAATACAATATCTAGTTTAAATGACTCATAGTATCTGCTTTTCCTGATAACTTTTTGGTTGTCATTCTCAGTGGAAGAAAGCAGTACAAACTAGGAAGACTGCAAGAATTTCCAAATTTCTCCTGTTAAGATGTGAGATATAAATAGATATTTTGCTGTTATTTGGTTCATTTATTAGAGAGAAGAGATTTGTTCCCAATAGTCTGACTTTTCATTGTTAAAGATATTTTTAGAGGGACCAGTAATATTGAATCTGCTGTAGAATTAAGTAGAACATTTATATAATGAAGAAAAAGATTACCAACCAAGAATTTCATGAAGTTAAATAATACTACAAATTGAAAGGCATTTTTTGAGGTGCCTTGAAATAAAGTATAGTCACATGATAAATATGCTTAATCTGTTTTTGTTTTCTTAATAATGGATTATACTCTAAAGATAGGTTTAGGATTCTGGAATTGGGAAATAATGTGATTTTTATAGGCTCCAAAAACATTAAAGCAACCCAAATCTCATGGTATTATTTTGTATCTATGAACTTCAGCTGTATTATATCATTTGGATTAATACATTTTGGAAATAAAAGCCTTAGAGTAAAAGTGTTTGTTTTCATCCAGAAGTTTCTGTAACTTGTCTTATTCATGTATTAGATTGTGATAAACAACGCAGCAGGGAATTTTATTTCTCCCACTGAAAGACTCTCTTGTAATGCTTGGAAGACCATATCTGACATAGTTCTAAATGGCACAGCTTATGTGACCCTGGAAATTGGAAAGCAACTAATTAAAGCACAGAAAGGTATGTTTATTTATTCAGACCATATTGGGCCATATTCATTTATTCTTCTCATTTTCGTATTAAGCTCCTACTGTGCACACATTCTGAGCTAAGTGTTGGGATACATTAGAAATTAAATGAGACAAGTCTACTTGTTCGACTCACACTGTGATGATAAAGATACTTAAATTTCATACATTATGATGTATGTCATACTAAATAAGTGTTTCAAGTGCATTGGAAATCCAGACACAGGAATAACTAACTCTTCCCTAGGGTCAGTGATCAGATTGAGGAATGAAGTGGAATTTGAGCAGAATTTTCAAAAATCTAAGTGTGAAGGAGAGAAAGGAAAGATGAAAGTTGCTGTATAGAGACCTGTTGGAGGAAAGACGTGTTTAGGGAATGATAAAGAATTAGATGTTTGTAGGGAGGGGGAGAGACAGGCATATGAAATGGTTATGGGAAGGTGGATTGAGGTGTAACTGGGAAAATTCCAATACCAAAATAAAGAATGTATTGGTTGGGGTTATCAAGAGGAACAGAATCAATAGGCAAACAGATACAGTAAAATTATGCAAGGGGATTTATCAGATATACTCACAGGATCCAAGGTAAGATAGTCCACTATGGCCACCTGTGTGTGGGGGAGCCAAAGGATCCATTAGCTGCTCAGTCCCTCAGAACAAGAGGGATCAAAGGTGCTGTACCTGTCTGAGACTCTCCACAGGGTTGGAGAATGTGTGACTCTCACTGCAATGGAAAGACATTGGAGTTTGATGTCCAAAAGCAATGACAGTAGCAAAGGATGCACCAACCTCAAGTAGAATGAGCTTTTCCAGATGCAGGTGGACTTCCTCCTTCTTTCTGATTCAGTCCATCTGGGCTGCAAGCCTATTGGATGGTGCTACCCACAGTTAGGTTAAGTCTTCTCCCCTCAGTTTGATGGCCTTCGTGTCAGTCATCTCTGGGAACATTTCACTAATCTGCTAGGTGAGTTTTAATCAAGGTGACAGTCACTGATTAAGGGTCACGAGGAGTTTGATATTCATTCTTTCCATTGAAGGTGTGTCATGAAGAATGACTCAATTGAAAAGGGTGCTGGCAGCCATGTTGGGATTTGAAGAAATCCATTTGGAAGAGTGTTTGGCTTTGGGAGGATGTGTATACACGGCTTGGGAGATGAAGTAGGAGACATTGAAGAGCAGCAGGCCTACAAATGAGAACTTTTAGCTGGGGTGAATAGTTTGGATGATAATGACATCAATGAGATTGAAAGGAAAGTAGATTAGGATGGAAAATTTTTGAACATTTCTGTTAGTACTTTGAATGGATTTCTTTGTTGAAGTTTACATAAATAATAAACTTTTATAATGTATGTATGATCTAGAACCAGCATACTTACAAGCTGACTTTTGCTGACTTTTGTGAGTCAAGAAAAGTGCTGTATCCCTGAAGCAGAGGAGGTGAAGACTCTGTCCCGGAATACATTGGGGTTGGGACTTGAAGAAGGATGGGGCTTTCTGTCAGAAAGCATTATGAAAAGGGACAAGAAGGAAAGCTCATGCTCTTCAGAGGATATCCTTTGAGGCTTGAGGGGGTTAAGAAAGTATGGAGGTGATTCAGAGGTTCAACTTCTTTTGTGCAACACGAATAATTCTCAAGCCAGCTTGAGAAAGGATGCAAATGCAGATGGGAGGATGATAGGCATTGCTTTTTAAAACAAGTCCATTCTCCTTGCATTTTTTGAAATAGAAATTACTAGTCACTGATTTTCACTATAGCGAAATGTGTATGATTCAGATTCGGAGGTTGAGTGGTATATTTTTTATTTTATTTGCTTTTTTCCCCAGTAGGGATAGATAAAATTGGGAAAGGCGATAAGAAAGAATGAATTGACTTCTCTTTCCTTGATCTTCGTATCTCTTCTCTGTCTGCCTCTGTCTTATTTCCTCTTTCCCCAAGTCTTGCTCCTGCTCTATTTCTTTATCTTTTTACCTGTGTGAGCTTTTCAGTTTTGGTTCTCTATTTTTCTTTACCTCTGTATCTTTCATTACTTTGTCTTTTCCTCCTGATTATCTCTTATCTCTTCCCTTGCCCATCTCTGTGACCCTGAGATTTGTCTGACTCTCTCCTCATTATTGTCTTTCATTTTAACACAGACTTTTGATCTATTTTTATTCATCACACTGAATTAAAATTCTATGGGTTTCATTAAAAATATATTAAATAAGGCTTTTCAAAAATTGGAAGCCAGGTTTTCTTCCTCTAAGATTCCTGTCAGGTATTGATGTTATAATCTGACAGTTTGGAGAGCTTGCCCCCTAAGACTAAGGAGAGTACAGTGCAAAGGTCTTATTATGGTAGTGGATCAACAATAAATGACCTCAAATTAATGATTGCCCAAGTGTGTAAGGGCATGAGCCTGGAAGTCAGTTCAGGGAGCAATATACAGTAGTTATTAGAAGTACATTAGGTGGTCTAGCATCTAGGAATTCTGTCAAAAGAAGATAATGGGGCAGTCAAATGGGTGAAGGTGAGGACACCAGCAACTGTACTATAGAAGCTCACTTGCTGGGGGCAGGAATTGGACAGCATGTACTTAGAAGACAAATGATGACAGAATCAGGAGCACTGTGGCCCTATTAGGGGCAAAGAAGCTAAATTTAGAAGGATAAGCAGCAGTCACACAAAATTTATAGTTATGAAGAAATGAAAGATGTAGGAAACTTCTAAAGACTTTAGTCTGGTTGTGTTGGTACAGCCACACAGGTTAGTAAATACATGGTTTACTTTATTGGGAAGGAAACAATATTGAAACTATGTTGAGATCCATTTGTCAAGAGTATAATATATAAACATGAAAAAGCTAGTAAATACTGTGGGGAAAAGAACCTCACATTCATTGAATTGAGAAAACTTACAGAGTCAGGAAAACAAAGAGACCTCATGTCCCCTCCTCTTTTAATGAGGGCAGTTCCTGTAATGAGGGTTCTACTCTGGTGCCTAGTTTCCTTCTAAAAGTTTCACTGTCAGATACCATCACATTGGGAATTAGGGTTTCAACATAATGAATTTTGGAGAGAAAACATTCATTTGAATGTTGAACATTCATTCAATTAATAGCAAAATGCTTTATAATTAAAATGTGATTTTGTCTACTATTATGAAAACAGTATAATTCTGTGTATTATAAGCTTAAATATGGAGAGATTAAAGTGTGAATCAGTGTGTAATGTATCTTACACATATCAATGGATTATTTTTAGTTTGCTAAAATCACAGTAAATTTACATGCAGTGTACAGGTCTTTTATATACACAAAAATTGCTGTTTTGATAAACTTAAATGATCAGGAGAGAATATTTGTTCATGTTCAAAAGTTCTTTCTTGCTACTTTCCGTTCATTTTTCAGTATGTAATTAAGGCTTTAGACCATTTTTTTATTGGGTTGCTTTTTACTATTTATTTGTAGAACTCCTCATATAATCTGGACCAATTCTTTTGTTAGGTAATGTGTGTATTAAGGATATGGATTATATATCCTTATAGCCTATAATTTGCCTTTTCATTTGTTTAACAGTGTCTCTTGATGAATAGAAGAAAAATTTAAATTTGGATAAATCTTCAGATTTCTAAATTGGTCATTCCATATTACATCCTCAATAGTAACTTTAGAAGTTGTGGTTTCTCTACATCCTTCCAACACTTGCTGTTGTCAGTATTTTTAAATTATTACCATCCTAGGATTGTAGTGGCTTCTCATTTGTACCATTAAATTACATTTTCCAAATGACTAATTAAGCTTAACGTCTTTTTATGTGTTTATTTATCATTGGTATATATTCTTTGATGAAGTATTTGTACAAATCTTCTATTCACGTAAAATTGGGTTCTTCTTGTTATTGAAATTATTTTTATTTATGCTAGATAGAAGTTGTTTATGAGATAAATGTTTTGCAAATATTTTGTCCAACAGTGGCCTGTCTTTCATGTTCTCAGCAGTGAGTTCTAAAGAGGAAAGGTTTTTAATTGTGATATTGTTCAGTTTTTCTTGCGTAGCTCAGTCCATTTTGAGATTCTGAGGAACCTTTGCCTAATGCAGAGTCATAGGTAACTAATGCATTTTGAAGTTCCATAGTTTCCACTTCTAGTGTTAGGTCCATGATCCAGTTGAGATGTTTGTGAAAGACATGAGGTAACAATTGAGATAAATTTTTTGTTTGTGAAAAGCTATCCATGTTTCCTCACCGAATTACCAAGGAACTTTTGTCAAAATTGTCTATCTCTATCTATATTTCATATATACGTCAATTTTTGAACTTCTTATTTTGTTCCACTGATCTATGTGTCTCTCATTATTATTTATTTTTATAATATAAACACATATCATGTATTTCATATGTTCCACATTGATCAGCTTCGATATTAACTTGAAATGAGGTAGACTGTGTTCCTCAATTTTCTTCTTTATTAAAATTGTTTTGGTTCATTTATGTCTTTTGTGTTTTCATGGAAATTTTAGAATTAAATTGACAATTTTTACAGAAAAGCCTTGAGATTTTTACTGTATTTGTGTTCAATTTATATTGGAGAAAATTTTATAATATTTGAACAATATAATATCTTCCAATCCATCATTACACCTCTCCATTTAGCTAGGTCCTCTTTAATTCTTTCAGGAGTGTTTCACTGTGTTCAGGATATTGTTCTTGGATGTATTTTCTTGAGTTTGGTATTTTATGTTTTTGATGCTAATAAGATGGTATTTTCTAAATCTTATTTTCTGATTGCTTGTAGTATATAGAAATATAATGGGCTAGTTTTGTGTATTGACCTTTTTCTTGGGAACTTGCTACATTTACTTAATAGTTCTTACAGCCTTTGTGTTAGATTCCTTTGATTTTTTTCTTTTTTACATTGATGATAATGATGAAAAAAGAGTATTTTTCTGTCCTCTTTCCTAATATGTTTGCCTTTTCTTCTTTTTTCCTGTTAAGGTGGGACTGCCAGTGCAAATG